ATAATCAATCCTCAAGATAGTATCTAGTTAAAAAAAAATAAAGTGAAATAGCCTCTTTACACTTTCTAAATGAAATTTAAATGCATTTAGCCATTATCAAGAGGCTATATCAAAATATGTAAAAAAAAAACCTCTAAGCAATGATTGGGTTCGAAATGTCTTGAAAACGAATTCAGTTTAGATATATGAGATGAGAATAGTGTTTCGGGCGAAATCCGAATTTGCAGATCATTTGCAGATCAAATTGGGCGAAACTAATTTCGGAGGGTTTCGGACTTATGGGGCGAAATTAAAATTCCTCTGGGCGAAATATTTCGGATTTGGAAAATAATTTCGTCCGAAACACTAGATGAGAATAATTAAATGTTAAATGTGTAACAATAATATTTGACTTATGATGCAAAAAGAGTCTTAATATTGAGTTTACGTAGATAATAACGGATGCCAACCAAATTTCGAGTTTGATTTCACGATAGTCTCAAAACGCCATTTTCAAAATAAGATACTTCAAAAATTTTTGGCGTGAAAGGAAAAAAACATAGATAGTATAAAAATATGAAATAAAATTTTTTTTGTTATAAAAAGAATACCAATTAAATTGTAAGATATAAATGTTAGCTTATAGATGAAAACTATCTTTTTTCACAAAGCATATAGATCGCCATAAATTTTATATGTGCTGCAACCTTTAAATCATTACCCTGAAAAATTTACTTACGAATCGGGATTATCTCGTGGCCCGTGATCAGAATCAGATGAAATTTGTGCCATTCGACTCTTCTCGTTGAGAGGAATCGAATGGTATATATTTCATCCGATTCTGATTATGGGATCATGAGACATCCCGATTCGTCACAATACGGTGACCCTGTGATCAGAATCGGATGAAATTTTCATCCTCTCGATGAGAGGAATCGATTCTGATCACGAGATAATTCCGATTTGTCATAATACCTCATATTATTTATGTATAATTACAAAATTTTATTAATGCAAATTATTAGTCACTTTAAACTTAATTATACTTATAAAATTTCATGATTCAAATCATGATAATTTCGAATTATTCGAGTCATGAGTTGATTGCGCTTAAGTATGTACAGTATATTAATGTTTAACGAGATAAAGTAAAGGCATTTTGTATATGTACGGAAATAATATTAGATTCTTACATTGAATACATATTAACAAAGATACTACAATATACAATTAAAAAAAAAAAAAATTACAAGAAATTTTTTAGGCAATTTGTAATTGAGTATCAGCAACTTTTCTCGAATCATCCTGTCGTTGTTTTTTAGCTTCACTTTTTTGATTATAATGATTAGAGACTTGATCACCAAAAAGTCTTGCAACAAATAAAGAAGCAGCATTACTTTCAGCTTGCTTTGATGATATTTTTTGATGACTCCTTCTTCGTTTTAATCCACCATTTCCATTTCCTCTTATAGATTTATACTTTTTTGGTTTATCAATTTGAAGGTAACAAATCAAAGTGATTAAAATTATTAAACAAATTATGTTTAACCACATAAAGATTAGATTTGCAGCTCTAATCTCACAAGCTTCCTTAATTTTCGGTGAAGTGTACGGATACGAACGTGGACATGAAAAAGGGATTGGTGATATTTCTGAGATAGTTAGCGCTGTATAGATTGCTTTTGTAAAAAAAGAAAATTAGATTAATTTTTCATTGTCTTAAATAATAATAACGATAATAATAATTAAATAATATATAATAATAATTGAGTCTCATAAATAATAATAATAATAATAATTGAAACTCAAAAAAATAAAGTTTCATAAAAAGAAATGATAAGAGTTTCATAAAGAAAAGTGATGATAAAGTTTCACAAGAGTTTTAAAAATAAAAACTAAAAATAGCAAACATTAATAACTTACCCGGAATTATTAACAAAAAAACGGTTGCGACACTAAATATATTCACGTGATAAATTAGATAAATTCGGTGAATATATAAATAAAAAAAATTAATACGTATGCATATAAACTTATAATAATATAATAATAATAATAATAATAAATTTCTTGCCTATATATTTTGTTACATTTACAGTTGTGATTACAGATACAACAAAGACATTCAAGAATTACTAATGCTAATTAATATTAAAATTAATAAAATTATAAATAAATAGATGCAGTAAATAATATATTTACATAATATTTAAAATAATGTTAAACAAAAAAAGTTCGTACGTACTGACTTGTGCAATCGTAAATGCAAGATAACTGTAACCATTTCAAAAATTACGGCAAAGTTCCCTCGTTATTAGTAATTAAAGTCGTAAACTTTAAAAAATTTTGTGGGGAAAATTCATCCTTACGGAATTTCTACTAATTCGTTATATTTAAGTTCTCCGTTTGATTGATCAAACGTTGTGATCTTTTGATATTCTATTCTTATACAGTTTTATGGTAACCAAAAAATAAAAAAAAAATAAAAATAAATAATAAGGGATGAATGTACGTAATAAAAAAAAAAAGACAATATGACAAATATGAACATAACACGTGTGAACATAACATAGCAAACTTTCAAGACTTTATATGCATATTTATTATCATCAAAATAGTTCGTTACTTACCCAGAACGGGGCAAACAAATGTAAAAATGAAACCTGGTACTAATAAGAAACTTAGTAATTGTAATTTATAATGACGTTGCATGATGAAAAAAAAGACTTTGTGTATATTAATTTTTTTATGCACCCGCTTTAATTCTACCACGTTGAATTTAGATTATTCATTGGCAAAAGCATATATGATTAGTAAAGAAAAAAAAATAGAAGTGTTCAACTACGTGTAGAAGAGGATTATTCAAAGTTCTAAATATATTTCATAGCCACCTCACTGCCACAAAAGAAGCGGGCTAGCCACAGAGAAATCAATACAATGTGATTACCACATGGCTGTGTTAAGCTCGGTAAAAGTATATGTGGACAGACAGTTTATAAATAAATATATATTTACATGCTTTATGATAAATGATTTAAGATTCTAATTATTCTAATAAAAGAGGATTTCTGTTCGGATTGCTTACCGTTAAGAATTTCAAGCGCGTAACTTTATCTGTTATTAAATTAAGTACGTACGTACATACGTACTTCAGAAGTGTGTATGATAAATAATCTTTTTAGCATTTAACGCCAATATAATTATTACGCGCCAAATAGTGAAATAGTGCGTGAACAAGCCGTATATTTATTAAATACTCTTTTTAAATATTAACTTTATCCTCTGAATGTTAATAAAATATAATGTAAGCCCAAAAAAAATAATTTTCTATGTTACCTTGTTGGAAAATTATAAAACAATAGCATAAAATTATTTCAAAAATGAGAGATTTTATGAGAACGGGCGAGAAAAAGGGTAAATGAGAATTCGATTAGTAGTATATATGTAATCTTACTACACACAAACAAACGTTTCGACATACTCTAACAATTATCAACATAAAATAAACAATAATAAGCACAAAAGAAGTTCCTTGTTTTCATAATTTTTTTTCCTTTATGATGCTACATTAAATATCTTTATCGTGCCAACATTTTGTATGATTTTAAAAGGCGAGAACAGTCTCTTGTTATGTACAAGTTGAATTAACAAATTATTAACCTATTAATTCGATGTAAGAGTATGTACATTTATTCGATAAGAAGATTTTTATTTTTTTTTTACCAGTTTAGCCTCACGAGGCTATGATTTATTTAGGATACATATATCGAGGATTCATATGTGGCAAAGCGAAAAAAAAAAATACATATATAATGATAACGGTCGATCTAGTCATTTAAAGAACTTGTACATGTTTGACTGATCACTGGTTCTTTTTGCGATATTAAGTATGGATTATTGTTTTTACGTGATTATTATTTTTTTTTTCGAAATTATTTTTATGATTGCATTCCTTGGGATCGAGTCTTTGTGTAATTATTGTATTTTGAAAGTTTTTTTTTTTTTGTGTAATCATTTTAAAAGATTTTTGAAAAGCCACGAAACGGATAATAAAAAATCAAGGAATCAAAAAAAATTGGAATAAAATCTTAATCCTTAACTGTCATAATAATGTTTCAATATCAAGAACTTCTCTGCTTCGGCGTAATATTTACACCAAGTTTTGTTCTGATATGTGTTTGCCCTGTCTTAGGTAAGTATGTATTTTCTTTCAATTTCTTGTTTTTATTTTATTTTATTTTTTTGAATATTGAAATTTGATTGGCTCTTAAGAGTACTAACTATCTTTACTGTCAATTTACTGCATAAGAGGTGCAAAAAATCATATTATTTAATGAGTCCAATGGAGTGTTTACATATAATGTATGGGTTGAATATTTGTAAGTAGACTTAATTATAATGAAAAAGTTTTATTTTAAAAATTTTTAATTAATAATTCCTTTTTTTTTGAATCATTTTTGGTAGGTATCTAACGCTTACGATTTTTTTAATTAGTAGGTATTTAGATTCCTAAATTCTTTTATTAAGCATAATGTAAATCAAACTTTCTTTTTTTGAAATTTAGTTTTATATTTATTCTTGTGCGGGTGTTGTTGTTGCGTTGATCTGACCAAGTTAAATTATAAATGCAAGTAAGTTAACATGATTAACAAGATTTTTACAATAAGGCCGCTCAGAGTTGGTTAGCTGGTTAAAGTTTTGGGTTTCAGATGTGAGGAGTAAAAATTTAATTAAATTTCATCCGTAAATTTTAATCTCATAACCCATAAGGATGACTACAATAATCAACTTTGAACTGTCTGTCTAATGATCATACAATTTTTTTACTAAAAATTTTAATTCTAGATTGGCCACATTACTTTGGTTAATAATCCCAAGTAGGTTTATCTTTTCATTATGCTCATTGATAAAAAAAACATCAATCTTCTGAACAAACAAACCCAAAACAAAAAACAAAAAAAAAAAAAAAACAAAAAAAAAAAACAAAAAAAAAAAACAAAAAAAAATGCAAAAAAATGTGATTAGCACTCTATACATTAGCAACTTATAAAGAATTAGGCAAGATTCCAGTATACTGTCCATCAAACTATCCTTATGCATCCAGAATAATCCAAGATGCCTGCGAAATTCGATTAACCAACCTAGTCTGCATGTGGCTAAATTTCATTTTCTTGATCTTATTCATGTTATCATTATGTTCTTTAAATAACCAAAGATTTGATGTGGAAATCGAAGTGGAGGACAGGAATTTGCCTGAAATGGAAGATCTTTATAATTCAAAAAAACCAGGTGAAGCTGAATTTTTATCGGTTGATGATTCTGAAAGATTCTTCTTTAGCGATCGGAGAATGACCAGATCTCCAGGGGAACATAATGAGTAATTATGGTAATTGATTGTTAATATAAATAGAGTAAATATAGTAGAAAATCTTTTTTATACATAGATTTATTTCTAAATTTGATTAATTAGATTACACAAGTTTTTTTTTTTTTAAAAAAAAAGATCATGTATTTTTCTTGCCGATGTTAACCTTAAAGAACTTTTTATTTAAATTAAAATGAGTCTTTTAAAAGAACTCCTTATTTAATTAGAATGAATTGATTTTTTTTTTTATATATGTTAAAAAAAACTTCTTGATTAGAACTGGCTTTTTATTATTGTATTAGAGAACATTCTGTATTAAAATTTATTATTCCGTACGATATACTATAAATATATATAATTAATCTAATTTTATCAACAAAATAATTAACCAAAAAAAGTTATTTAATACGCATGTACATACGTAATGTACATACTGTACGTATGTATATGCGTATTTTTTACTATTATTATTCAGTATATGCGTTACAGATTACATACTGTTATTATTTAAATAATTAAACAAACCCGTTGTGATTACTTTTAAAGATCATGCACAACTAATTAGTCATCAATGACGAACTTGGCACTTGTAGGTGTTGATATTTTCATGTCCAAATCAATGATATGATTGACATTTAGTTTATCGAGGTCATCCACGTTTTGTGATTTACTCACTTTTACGTATCCGAAATTTAAATAATCAGAAATGAGAAATTTTACTTACGTACGTAAATGATAAAAATGGTAATAATAAAAAATACATACATAGTTCTTTTAATCCTTTTCCAAAATTTCTAAGAACAAAGATGCTATATACGTAGGTCCCCTGAACCGATTAGGAAAAGTTAATTTTAGATAATTGGCTAATAACATCAATAAATTACTATGAAACATGAAAAACATTTGAAACGTGTAAAAAAATGATTACTAACGACATATATTCCAATCCAAAATAAAGTTGATGGAATAACTGTAAAACAGTAAAAATCATAAAATTAATTTAAATTAATTAAAAAAAAAAGTTAATTGAAATTGGAATTTAAATCAAGCGTTATTACATACCAGCAAGGATTATATAATCCCACTGAGTAAACTCATCTTCGTAATTTAAAACCGTACTTGAGATATTTTGTAATAAATCTATTACAACAGCAATTATAATATATATCCATAGTACTGCAAATGTTATCATTCCGGGTCTCCATTCAGAATGTACCTGTTATGTATTATAAAACATTATCAAAATAATTAATTTTATCTGAAATTAACTTTATAAAAAAAAAAAAAATTAATACACGTAAAAATGATAATAATAATAATTACAGATTTATATGCCAATATTACAAGAAAAAAATTTAAGGAGGAAGCAGTAACATGAATTATGGTTAAAGCGGTTGATTCTTCTTTATAATTTTGGTATACGTAATTTCCAAAGTGAATATAAGGGACAATGAAGGAGAATAGGTAGAGAAGGATAGTGAAGATATTCATTTTTAGAAATATCATAAAGATCAAATATTTCTTATATGAATCTAAAAAAAAATAGATTAAGAAAACTCATTAACATTAATGAAAGATTTAATATACTATAGTATATTTAAATTTTTTTTTACCTCTCATTTTTACATCACCGCCTATTTTTTTATATAAATTCCATCCAAATTGTTTATAGAGCAACAGTGAATACCAGGTTGAGATTGCAGTGAATATTAAAAGTAGCGAAAGGAATGGAATGTCATTTGTCCAAAATGATGGATCAAAGTTGGTTTTTCCTTCACACACTTTAATACTGTGTAATTGGTTTAAGGGAAACTTTATTTCTAGACCTTGGACCTTTGATAAAAATAAAATTAATAAACTTTCCTTTATTATTAAAAGGCTAATAAGGAGAAAATAGGACTTACAAGACCAAAAAAAAGCCAACCGAAATTAAAAAAGCAGATGGCCATTATTTGAATGGAATGTTCGTGAAATACCTAAAGAAAATAAAGAAAATAAAACGAACTTAAATTAATATTCATCCTTTCAATAATTTTTTTTTAAAACCATTTATTTGATTGATAACATTTTATTACCGCGTTGAAAAATAAATAGAGCTGCCAAATATGAAATACGACAAAAATGACGTTATTTCCAGCCAAAAAACCTTTCGGAATTCCACTAAAATTTGACATGAGAGCATCATAGCATTCACTATTCGTCGTTTGAAATCCTTTAGTATATGGATTTGGCGTTAATTGAAGATTTACATTGCGTGATAAAAGTTTCATTTGAAAAGCTATGATGAATATGGTCTGAAATATCGCTAATATTATGGCGGTTTTTGTGGTCTTTGAGGCGGTTATTCTTTGCCACTGTTAAAAAAGATATAAATATTATATTAATAATGATATATAAAGAATATATGTTTTATATATATACATATATATATATATGTGTCTTTTAAACCTACTTTTTTTATACAATTTCTCTTAAAATTTTTTAAAACGAGAGTCGAAACCATTGCAAGTAGTCAATGGTAGCATCAAAAATTCTAATACTAGTCAACTAATGGCCTTGACAACACTACACGTGATGATAATTCAAATTCAAATTAATCACGTGTGCATATTATATATCTATGCAAGTCTATGCGAAAGAAAATCGATCTTTCGAAGAGAATGTATAATTTATAATTAAAAGAGAGTAAGAAAAAGTAAATCAGAAAGTGAAATGTCGTGATGCCTTTTTACGTTAATTTCCCATAACAGAAAATTGGGATAATAAAAAGGAATACATATGTACACATCGTAATTCAAAATAATGCCATGTGCTGATAACACATGCTCTTTTCGGTTCTGGATTTACACCAATGTTGATCATAAGTATATTACTTTCTCAATATTATACGGGCCGCGTAATATTTTAATGTGACGAATGTGACGAATGTGACGTACAGATGTACAATGATGTTTTATATTCCAATATCGATATTCGGATTAACCATTTAATAATTCCCGTAGTTTGTTTTTTGTTTTTTTAAAAAAAATGATGGTTACTACGTACTGCACTGTAATTGTACTGTATCTATGCAGTATCTATGCAGTATTTGTACTGTACGTACAGACGTATGTACCTCTGTATCTGTACAGTGTAAATTGTGCAAACATATATATATATATAGATACCAAAGAATAATAATCTGGAATTCTAGAGTTATTTCAAAGAACAAGACATTTCTGTTGCAATAATTCTCGTCAAAATAACACCTCATTGGTAAAATATTCCCGAAATCTACATCCGGGATAACTATAATTTTTTTTTCAACCATTATATATATTCGATATATATTGTTTAATATAATCAATTTTCATAAACTGGATAAACTGGTACGTATTATTTGTGTACAATTAATTAACAAGTATTTTGGAGTCAACGGCAGAGGTAACGTGTAATATACAGATATATCGATATATACTGTGTAATTTCCTTATTTAATATAATGATATAACTTTTTATTATGTTATGGCTGTGCAGATACGCAACTATCAAATTTATAGATTTACAAAATGATATAATTATTAAAATGAAAAAAAAATGATAACAATAAATATATTAATATATTATTGTCGACTTATCAAGCAAATATTTATTCACTTACGAATTTATTACGATTAAATGTAAAGCCGTCTTTCTGAATTTAGTTATTAGAAGTTACACAATGGCCGAAAACACTGCCGAGGGGGGTAGGGATTCAAAAAAAAAACGTATGATATTGGTTTATTGTTGAATGATATAAAAACGTATGATATAAAAAAGTATACCGATACGTATAATGATATATAGTAATGTAATTGTTATATTTATTGATTAACTGCATATTTTTCGCATCAAAGTTTTGGACAAATTTAGAAAGTACTTTAATTCAAACAGGTCTTTCTTCGAAAAAAAGTTTTTTTTCTGAAATACTTTTTGCGTATGAGCTGTACAAAAGTTTCACTAATTGCTTAACCCCTTTTGTAGTAACTTTGTAAGGAAATTATACCTGTAAAAGGTAAAAATGATAAACTGTATCACTTTCTTTGCGTCAGGTTTGATTATAAATAAAATCTTCCAAAGAACTATAGCTCTATTAACTCATGCTCCTCCGAGTTGCTACATCCTAAAATACATAGGAATAATAAAAGTCAACTTTAAGATTTGATTGTGGTTTAACTTGGATCAAATAATTTAGTTCCACAGTTAATCTTCCTTTGATAGGAAGCATAGATATTAATTTTTAACGTACAGTATTTAAAAAAAAAAAAAAAAGTATTCGTTACGAAATCACTTGAATTTTGTTATTTGACGAGAACAAACCTTCGTGTATATATACTTTATATACTTTTCGAAATTATTTTATTATATAATATGGAAGATTTCAAAAAAACATGTTTCAAAAAAGGTACGTACGTATTACATCAAATATACTATTTGATAATTGTTTGTTCTACAATACTGTATCAAAGATGATTAAACACCGTTCTATTCCTTAACATCCGATCTTCCGATCCTCACTGATCTTCTCATTCTCTAATTTCCTTTAATGAAGTGGTCGAAAATAAATGCATCAACGTATACGAAACTTTTCGTCCTATGCTCTATACTACAATGTATAATCATAATCATTCTTCAAGTTAAGATAGTATACCGTAATTTAAGTCTTACCTCTACTTGGAAAGATTACCAAAGTTTAACAGCTAATGCAACAGCTAATGACTTTGCTACAGAAAATTGTCAACAATTTCAGGATAGACCTCTTCCAAAGTTTCCTTTTCTTGCTTTTGATAATTTGATTTTTATTATGTTTCAAGCATTTCAGTTGTACTTTTGCTTCAATGCGGTAAGTTTTCTTTAAAAATTTTGTAATAATTCGAATGTGTATGCTATTTAAATTTATGAAAAATTTCGAAATTTATGATGTTCTATTTTTATAGATATTTCATGAACATATTATTCAAATTTTAACAATTACTTTACTAAATTTTTGTTGGGCACTTTATGGAACTGTAAGTATTTCTTTTCTTCTTTTCTTTTTCATTTAAAATTTAATCATATCATTCATTAAAATTAAATCATTTCTCAATTGTTAATTAAGGTACAAGCTGTCGAGGTCAAAATTTCATTAGGTGAATTAGATGAGCTCTCCAACTGTGTAAACAAACCTACTCTCGTGCCAAACTTTTGGGGAAACGACATTCCATGTGTTGTAATACTTCTCATTTTTGCTTTTATCATGTCTTACCTTTCATATAAACTTTATAAACAATTTGGTTGGGTTAATTATAAAAAAATCGGTGATGATCCTAAAATGCAGTGTAATAATTTATCTTTTTTATACCTTGTTTTTATATGAGTGTCAGAAAGCGAGGACCTATATTTTAAGTTATCACTCTGGCAAAATTGATCCCTTAAAGAATTGTAATTAATCACATAATCAGTGTTCTGGTCGTTTCAGCAATAACATATCATTATCATATATAAATTCTTTAGAGGCAACTTTTACCAGAGTGATAGCTTAAAAATTTACTAACAGGTTTTCGTCCCCTGACCCTCATATTGTTTTTTGTTTGTTTTTTTTTTAATTTTTTTTCTGCATTTTTGAATAGGTATATACAAGAATCACTTGATTTTCTTGATGTTGCTAAAACTTAACCTACTGTCCATATTATTATTTATGATTCCTTCATTGATCATAATTCTTGTTTATCAGTGGCAAGCTAGAGGACTTTTGACCGGGTTTATTATATTTCACATGGTCGTTACTATCATGGTTCTTATATTAGAAATACTGGCTTATCGATTTGTAAATATATATCTCTTTCCATTTTTTTTTTTCAAAAATAATAATTTTTTGTTTGAGTTTTAACATACCTTTTTTATTAAAAAATAGGTCGCAACAGAACATAGAGTAGGGATGATAGTATTTTTGGTTTTATGGCTTGCAGTCATAGTTGATTTTGTATTCGCTATGGTTTGTGCGTTCTACTTTTTCGTGGAAATAAAAAGCTATTGGTATTTTGGAATTATTATCCGTATGTATTTATGAAAAATTTCTCTTGTTTTATATTATTTGTTTTCTTTTTTTTGATATTAATTATTCTTATCTATCTTATTTGTAGTTACACTGTTGATTATAAATTCCGTGGTACGTATGATTTATATTTTCCGAATATGGGTTTTAAGAGTTTTTTTATTAATTCGTGTTATTATTTTTTTTTTTGTTTTTTTTGCCTTTATAGCTATTATTTGCTTTTGGTGTTAGAGTAGTGAGACACTTTGGTCAAGGATTAAAAGAAATTCGTAAGTTTCAATTTAAAAATTGACGCGTTTTTTATACTCAACACTTTAATCCTCACATACAATTTTTTTTTAAAAAAAAATTAGTTGATAAAAATGAAGTTCAACAAGAAGAACCTCCTTCACAAAATCCCGGAGGTTTGGTACACATTTGGGATGATCTGGAATTTGAGCCCGGTCGTGAAAAGAAATGGACCATCGATGATTGATG